ATAATAATAATAACGGTATATTTCGCGAAGCCCGCGGAGCGTACTAGTGCGCATGATCAAAATCTACAACAATATGAAAATTGAACAGTGGAGACGAAAACGTAATAGTACAAGGAGTGTAGGAACGTAATTTTCAAACAGGTACTTAGAATATCGTAAATGTGTCTTGCGTTGAAAACGAAACACAAAGTGGACAAGGTCATAAAATGGAGTATTGGGGGTGATCTGTTATGTAATGCACGTCACCGTGAACGTTTGTCTTGTGAAAAGTAAGGGCAAGACAGAAAATTGGGAGTTGGAATATCCGCTCGGGAAAAAATGCGCGGAAACGAGTTCAAAGAACAGGAAGAGAATAACGACGAAGAAAGATTAATAAGTTCAGAGGCAGAGCTGCAATCGAGCTGAGGGAGAGTACAGTAATTCAAGAAGAGACGACAGATGGCCTATAAATAAACTGTTCCAAATGTCGATAAATTTGGATGGATTTCTGTGATCACGGAAGAATGGGCTTCGGGGCCTCACCGTTAACTGACTGATTTTTTTAATCATATTATTGGGGCGTTGGTCCCTTTAATGTGAGACTGACTACACGCCAGACATCCAACCTTAAAACACCTCGTAGCTGAGACAGAGGATGAGATCCTCAACCTGGTCTGGAATGCGGACGCATGTAGTCAAAAACAGTGGATACAACCGCGTCCAACAGAGATTGCCGGAATCCAAATTGTCCATTGTGGGCGTAGATCCCAAGCCTTTGGCAGGCCCAAGCCAACAAACTCTGAAATAAAAAGGACAAAACTCGGCAGTATGGATAAATACTCAGCTGAGAAGGGAAGAGGGGAACAGCATGTTGCGAAAGAATACGCAGAGAGCGTAAGTACCCGAAAGTATATGTATAATTAAAAGGAAAGTGCGCACAAAATACGCAGGTCAGGAAGATGAAGAGATGAGGCGAATCAGAGGGTTTAACATAACAGAAATGAATTATACTGTCAAGAATTAAGGTTGACAAGTCTAGTATAGGTTTTCCCCTGAACGGTTTGGGTTTAACGCTCAACAGGTGGAGTGATTAGGGAGGAGTTGATAGACGAATACTAATGCCTCGTCAGCCTGTGCCACGGGGAAGAGATAGCTCGGAGGGATCAACATAGATGAACAGAGAAGAAATTGGAGAAATTATGGAGGACAAACGCTGTGCAATTATTCGGATAAAAATATGTTCAGCACTGATCCAGTTTTTAAGGTCGACCAGTGCACCAACATAAGCTCAGCTGCTGCATCAGAATGTATCACAGATAGAAAGAAGCTTAGAGGTGACCTGAAAGTGGGAAAGTCAGTCAGGTAATGCGTTTGGGTGCTGTAGTCTAATAAGACAATCACCATGAGATTTCCGTTCCACTTCATGAGCTTTTAAACTCAAGAAGTGTACTACGTATATGAAGAGGTTATGTCAAGATGTTAATTGTGAAGAATCATCAAATGGATATAAGTGAATTAGGGTATAGGTTAGGTTGTGGATAGGTGAATTACTTTTATCAAGTATACACCGATTGGGGTTTGCGTTGCTTACTGATTAGAAATGAGTTGAAACGTGAACATTGGAGTTTAATGATGAGGAGCAAGGTTTTGCGTTGAATAGGTGACAATACTTATCACAAGGATTTACTGAATGGGGTCGGTTTCACTACTTAAGCTTTGGGATTCTCGAAGTGTACTGTGTATTTGATGAGATGATATAAATGTGAACACAGTTCACAGATCAATGCCCTCTTCGTATGCTCGGTATACAGGGGTGTTACATTGGTTCAACTGTAACATGAAGCCAACGGTAAGGTGTGCCTTTATTGCTTTGGAAAATTGTACAATAGAGGGGCATTTTCGGAATTCAATAAGGAGTTTGTTCCACAATTTGGAATACTTTATAATAAAGAAATTTGGCCTTACAGCTGTTCTCAGTCAGGGATCGTAACTGTAAGGTTTCTATGACGTAGCGAGTAAGGTGAAGATAGAGAATACGTAGGGGTGTCATTGGAAGGGGACACTCGGTGATAAAGGAGCTTATACAAAAGCATAAGTTAAGACAACTGAGCCTGAACCATAACGGGTCCAACCGTACAAAAATGCAGCGTTCCATGTAGTTTTGAGTCGAAGAGTAACCAATCAGTTTTTTGTGAAAGAACGCTGGACATTCTCAATTTTAATTCAATTTGCTTCGGATAAGCCAGAGAAGATAACGCGGCAGTATTCTAGATGCGGTCTGGCGTGGGATACATAGACACTTAGTATGCTGTTCCTTAGTTTGAGGGATTTTGTAATCATACCAATTATCTGCCTTGCCTTAGCTGTTTGGAATGGAACGTGTTCAGAAAACTTAATACTGTTTGAGTAGCTGACTCCAGGATCACGCACAGATGTGCTGGATTGAATAGATGCGTGATTTAATATAAGGGATCCGGGTGAGAATAGACATCTGTAGGTTGTGTAGCAGCTTTTTAATGCTGAGAAGTCCATCGTCCACAAGGAGCACCATTCAGCAAGATCATCGTTAATGTTGTGTAATGAAATGGCAAGATTTGGGAGGTAGAATTCGTAGACTATCTTAATATCATCCGCAAAGAGAAACGGAACACCAGCACGGATGACTGAAAATACATCATCGATGTAGAGTAAAAATGTGAGGGACCAAGTACACTTCCCTGTATGCCACCACTGGTGACAGGAACGGATTGTGGTAGATGACCATCGACGGATACTGCTTGGGTACAGTTCGAGAGGTAGGACGTTAACCAAGATAAAAGAGAACCATCGAAACCGTATGCCTTGAGTTTTGCAAGTAAATGAGGATGGGAAACACGGTCAAAGGCCTTGGTCATGTCAAGATATATGACGATTACAGACTTTTGGTTATAGGCTAACATGGGTGACATGTCAAAACAGGCATACTGGCAAATTGTGCATGATCGTGATTTTACGAACCCATGCTGACCAGCATTTGTCAGATTTTTGGAAAGTAAGAAGCCAAACATGCGCTGTTTAACCAGACGTTCCAGTATTCTAGAGGCAATAGGGATGTGTTTAATCGGACGATAATCAGAGGGGTCACTAAGTGGGCCTTTTCATGTATGGGGATGATGAGAACCAGCTTCCACTGAGATGAAAATATGTCAAAATTCAAGGACAGGCTGAATAAATTTATTAATAAAGCTGAGAAATCAGTCATACCGTAACAAAGCAGTGATAGTGGAATGCCATCATGCCAAGGACGTGAGGATGGTTTCACCTTAGCAAGTAGTTGGGTCACTTTCTAAAGAGTAAAATCCAGACGAGAGGGAATGTGTTCAGTGTAAGGTGCAATATCGGGGGTGCTTATGACAGTATCCGTAGTCATCGATTTGGCGTAAAAGCTGTTAAGTGCCGCGGTTATCGCGTCGGGAGAAGTGATATGGGATTTGTCGTCAGTAATGAGGTATGGAATTCCGGCTGTCTTATGATGAGTT